CGGTTTTCCACTTGCTTCGGCGGCTCGAGCGCCTGCGGCAGTCGAGAACTTTTTGAACGCCACAAGAGCACCTGCTCCAAATCCGACCACACAGAAGCACGGGGTCCGCCATTCCTGACACTGCACATCTGCACGAGACGCTTTCAACGTTGGAAAAAGCAATAACGTCTTCGACCTTTGACGAATTCCTGCCGGTGATCACCGTCCCGTCATCTCTCCCGCGCTCACCGTCGTGAGACCCCCATGCCCCCGGTGAGTCTCACACTTCGTCGCAACCTGGAAAGCAAGGCCTGTGGCACACCCCAGGTTCATCGGCTTGGTTATGTAATGGGTGTCCTCTGTCAACGCCGGGCCGGTCGTGATCCAAATCCTGTGTAACGCTGCGAGGCGGTGCGACTAGCGCATTCCGTCTAGACCGTGCTCTTGATCCTCCTCCAGCTGGTATCCCTTTTTTTTTTTTGCAAACATTGTCCAGGTACAGGACACACAGACCAACCGTGAGTGGCGCCAGTCGCGGCGAGCCAGGGGCGGACACCAGGTTCCCGGAACGACCGTCATCGGCGTCATCCGGAGACCGCTGCCCAATGGCGCCATCGGCGGATCCAGAACCCCATCAACGACCCCACGATGCCCCATCACGGGTTCCAGTCGGTGTCGTGATATTCCTTCCGAAGTCCTTATGCGCGCTGCAGGTCAGATCTTATCCCAGCCGTCAGCCCTATCTGCGTCTGCCTCGACTCCTTTAGGTCCCGCTCTTCACGCGGCGGTAGCGGGTGCGTAGCGAGGCATCCCTACTGGCAGTTTCAGCTGACGGCGTCTTGGGCTGCACCTCTACCTAGCATCGCAGGTATTCCGTCATCCTTCAGCCTCGGGACCGCTGACTCGCTGGGGATTTCCTTGCTTCCCATTGGTCTTTTTGCTTTGGTTAAGACGGAGATTCGGCACCAGCAGTCACTCACAGGCGGAAGCCTAGATTGATTGTGTTAGGCGATGAGATGGGACCCTTGCCTCAACTCGAGCTGGGCCTTCAGCTGCCGCCAGGCCAGAGGAAGTGAGGGGCATCTCGACAGATAGGAAGATAGCTGCCCACCTAATTGGATGCCTCCCTCCCTTTTTCCCACCGTCCTTTGAGCGAATTCCCCCTCCTCTCTCTACCACGCACCTATCCTCATCGACGACCAAGCTTGGATGTCGGTTTGACGTGTTTACTAGCCTTTCGCAAACTGAGGGTCCATTGAGCATCGACTGCGTAACCCGAGCTACCCCTCCTCTCCCCCACGCTCGTCCACATATCGCACCAGTCCGTTGCCCCGCAATTCGGCCACTTCAGCTGAACGCTGACAACCATTCGTTAGACGCGCCCCAATTCAAACGCTCGCTCGAAGCAGTAGTCGCTATGGGCTTCGGTTCGCTGCTAAAGAAGGTGGGCGACAAGGTAAATGAGACGGTCAGCAGCGGCTTGGGTGATCTCTTTGGTGAAGAGAAACACTCACACACGCACATTGGCCATGGATGCCACGAAGATGACAGCCACGCAGAGTGTCGAGACAATCGCTACTGTTCGTTCGCGCCGCAGTCGTCCGGTCATGCCAAGTGGTACGTGGATGGCGCATCGTACTTCTGGGCCGTATCCATGGCCCTTGAAGGTTGGTAGGGATTTCTGCCATCATCCTAAATTGTTCCTCCCAGTGGCGCTGACCAGCATTTGACTTGCTGTGTAGAGGCCCGCGAGTCAATCTACATTCTTGACTGGTGGCTGAGCCCGGAGCTTTATCTGCGGCGACCTCCTGCCCGCAATGCGCAGTACCGCCTCGACGCCATGATCAAGGCCGCCGCTGAGCGAGGTGTCATGGTGTATGTGATTGTCTACAAGGAGGTGACCCAAGCCCTTACCTGTAAGTGCATTGCATCATGTGCTCTACATCTGGACATACGCCGTAGCTAACACTCCCCTAGTGGACTCTTCAGTGAGCTTTCGCCTGGATTGATGGATTGGCAGCAAAAAAAGACTCACACAATCTTGATAGCACACCAAAAAAGCGCTCGAGGCTTTGCACCCCAACATCAAGGTGTTCAGGCATCCTGATCACACCCCAAGGGGAAATGAGATCCTCTCGGGCCTGTCTGCGAGCTTCCAGAACTTCAGTCTCACGGGCAAAGACATCTTGAAGGCGTCCAAGGAGAGCCTTCAAGCTGTTTATGGCGGATCTGATGACATGGTTCTCTTTTGGTACGTGGGATTGCTCCCGTTCTCTACCCCTTTAGTCCTTTTACCCCGCTGTCCAGCAAAAGGAAAAGAAGTTACCTCGCGAGACATCCAAATCACTCTGAAATGGAACCTGATAGCTGATATTTGCTACTAGGGCTCACCATGAGAAGTTGTGCCTTATCGACGGAAAGATTGCCTTTATGGGTGGTTTGGACATGTGTAAGTTTGACGTTTATCCTGTTCCCTTGGGGCCTTTGCTAACATCCTCAAGGCTTTGGAAGATATGACACGAACAGTATGTTCCCATATCTACTACGTGGCGAATTCGTGAGTTGACAGAGCAGGTCACCCAATTGCGGACGCCCACCCGGGGAATATCGACGACATCGTTTTCCCCGGTCAGGACTACAATAACGCACGTGTCTATGACTTTGAGAATGTTGCTATGTGGGAGAACAACAAACGTAAGCTCCATCGATATACGGGGGAACGTAATACTGACAAGGAGAAGTCGACCGCACAAAGAGCTCGCGTATGGGCTGGTCTGATATCAGCATCAGTCTCTCGGGGCCTATCGTGGACAGCTTGGCAATCCACTTCGTCGACCGATGGTAAGCTGCCCCTGCTATGTTGTTCATTTTGCCGTGCTAAAGGTCGTCGGCAGGAACTACATTTACGATGACAAGTATACCAAGAGGCATGCTGAAAAATACCCACGCCTTCTCAAACCCGACCATGGTCGGCCCTCCCATCACCTTCTCCCGGATGGTGAGTTTTTCGGGGGCTTGCAACATCACTTTTCTCGCAAGATGCACAAATACCTTGGGGATGAGGAGGAGGAACAGCACAGACCGTTCCAGCCTAGTGATGGCGCTCACATCCAGCTGTGCCGAAGGTAATCAAGGCCCATACACATTGGGGAATATGCCAGCTAACACCCGTCAGTTCTTCCAAGTGGTCGTCGGGTCTCAACACTGAGCACTCCATTGCCAATGCCTACATCCAAACTATCACGAATGCGCGCCACTTCATCTACATTGAGAACCAGTTCTTCATCACGGCTACCTCGGACGTCCAGAAGCCCGTTGCCAACAAGATTGGCCGCGCGATTGTGGACCGCATCGTCCGAGCCCACAATGCCCACGAGGACTTTCAGGTTATCATTCTGATGCCCGCCGTTCCCGCCTTTGCGGGAGACCTCAAGTCCGAAGGCGCTCTTGGGACCCGGGCAATTATGGAGTTCCAGTACGAAAGTATCAACCGCGGCGGGTACAGCATTATCGAGGTACTTAAGAAGTCCGGCGTCCAGGACCCGCACCGTTACATCAATTTCTACAATCTCCGGAACTACGACCGCATCAATACTAGTGCTGTGATGGGCAAGGTGGAACAGGAGAGCGGTGTTTCGTATGAGTCCGCCCGTCGTGACTACGACAACGAGTACGAGCGCGGAGACCAGTACCAGCCCAACGATGCCGCTTATACAGGCGGACCCAACAGCCAGTACCAGCGCTACCAGCAAGCCGCAAGCCACCATTCTGACCAAACCTGGGATACCGTCTCAGCTGCTTACATGGACGCCAATCCAGATCTCCACAGCGTCCCGTGGAACGGAACTCCCGAGAGCGAGCTCGACGCCTACGTCTCCGAGCAGCTCTACATCCACACCAAAGTTCTCATTGCCGACGACCAAGTCGTCATCTGCGGTTCAGCCAACCTCAACGACCGCTCCCAGCTCGGCAACCACGATAGCGAGATCGCCGTCATCATCGAAGATCCTACCCCCGTCCGCACCCTCATGGGCGGCCACGTCTACACCGCCTCAGCGTTCGCCGCGTCCCTCCGCCGCCAACTCTACCGCCGTCACCTCGGCCTCCTGCCCGACCAGTGTTGCGACCGTCCCGACGCCAACTGGACCCCCGTCACCCGCGACCCCAACGACTACGACTGGGGATCCCCCGCCGATCTTCTCGTCCGCGACCCAATGGACCCCAAGTTCCGCGAGCTGTGGACCCGCACCGCCCGACAAAACACCGAAATCTTCTCGCGGGCCTTCCATCCCGTTCCCAACGACAAGGTCCGCACCTGGGAGGACTACGACACCTTCTTCAGCAAGCACTTTGTTGTCCCCGGCGAAGCGAAGGAGAAGGCCGAGGAGGGGTACAAGCAGGGTAAGGTTGACTATGGGCATGTGGTGAGGGAGGAGTTCCCAGGTGGTGTGAGGGAGTTGAAGGATTTGCTGAATGGGATACGGGGTAACCTGGTGGAGATGCCGCTGAACTTCTTGATTGATGTTCCGGATATTGCGGTGGAGGGGTTGGCCTTGAACCCGTTGACGGCGGAGTTGTATACCTGAGACGGGGCCTGGATAAGTGGAAGGGTATGGGAGTAACAAGGAGAGCGGTGTTTTATGCGGATGCTGGTTTTGAGAGTTGAGAGCGTATTCTGTTTCGTCGCAGTTGGATTGGTGTAATCCGCAGTACCTACCTCGTCACGGTCGACTGAATACCCACGTTTCGGAGCTGCTGCGCGTGCCATCTCTTCCAACTTTCAAAAAGGGGGTTCGAGACAAAACGGCTCATCCAGCGTAGGGTTTATATTTTAGCTTGCACAATGTTTGCAGGCACTCAAGAGATCACTGCAAGCCTTCTGTCACTTTGAACAAGCTTAAAGCTGTTGACGAGATTGCGATTCCGTGGCTTTTGACGTCGTTTTCTGTTCGGCCCTGGATCTCGACTCTGGAGTGCGCATCCATCATGAGTGACCATTCCGACATGATAATTCAAGATAAGGCGTGGTGGCAGAGTGGTCTAATGCGCTAGACTCGAAATCTAGTCCCTTCGGGGGCGCATGTTCGAATCATGCCCACGTCGGTATTTTTGGTTTTTTACTCCCCTTGATAGCGAGCGAGGTTCAGGTTTTCGAGAAGAGTTGAATGAGCCCCTTTCTGTTGGTTCTGGTGGAGTGATGCGCCCTGCGTATGGGCGGCGTTGTTGATGATCAGATGAAAGCTACGGGGGTGCGCTGGCGCTCTGTGTTGGGACCAAGTGGATAAATGCCCGCTCTGATTTTGCGTCACGCCCTGAGAGGAGCGATTCCTGTCTAATTCCGCGCCCAAGACATAGACGATGCGGATTGATGGCAAGCAAGCAACCGTGGTAATAGTACATCCTCTAAACCCCATCCACCGTTTCAGCGTGTCTATGCAACGTATTCGAAGTGTTGCAAAAGAGTCAAATATTCGCCGCCCGGGCAACCCACGCCAAAACGCCCATCCTTCATGAGAATCCTCAACTCCCAAACTGCTAGCTAGCTTCATTATTCGGAGTCGTCAAGCTCTTCCACTCTGGGTGCAATATAGCTGCGTTGCTGGGCTCCAGTCGAGATCTGAGTGGCCGTGGCAGTTGTGGTTGCTCTTGCGGGCGCGGGCTGACCTGTACCAGCCGAGAATGCCGACTGAGCAGCAGCAGTTCCTGAGGTAGACTTGGACTTCTTCTTCTTCTTGGGGTTGGGCTGCGGATATGTTAGCTGCTTGTCACAATAACAGGTGGGAATCCGCTTACGTCATGCCACGCCCAGACAGGCTTGAAACTGTCAACGACCGAGACATCCTCCCAGAGGTTGGGGAAGAGCCAGAAACCAGGCTTAAGAACGAAGTAGGTGACGCAGAAGAGGATAACACGGAAGATGGCCATGGCGAAGAAGAGACCGAGGAAGATGAGGAAACCCCAGCTGAGGTAGTAGACACCTTGGCGCATCTTCAGAGGCCAAAGAGGATAGAGCACGACTGTGAAGATGAGGAGAAGAGCAAGAGCGGCGTAGACCTTGCGCATAAGCTGGCTTCCCTCCCAGAGCCAGACATAGTACATGTCATCTTCGGCATCTTGCTGCTGTTCGATGCGCACCGTCCAGAGGCCCTTGACCCGCTTGCCTTTCTTCGGCCCATGGTCGTGGCCCTCGTGGGGGTCAGACTTGGACACGCGCAGCGCAAGCATCGACATGGGCAGCAGCTTGAAGGTGTTCTCGAGCGAGGCGCGGTCGGTGATCTCAGGAAGCGCTGGATTCTTTTTGCGCGCCTTCTCGTACGCGGGGGACTGGAGGGCTCGCAGAGCACGCTTGACTGGTCGTTAACAGCCTCGGTCAGTACAAATCATTACTAGCTATACTTTTAGAGCCGAGTGTCTTCTCACCTCTGAACATGTCTTTGCGATCGCCATTGAGGATGACTGTGCGCGGCTTCAGGTCCTGGCCGCGCAGGAACTTGGCGAGAGCCAGGGCAATGGGATTCGGGGGCCCAGGCACAATTGGTTGTGCTACTCCCTGCTGGTGTTGGGGAGGGTGAGGATGCGGGTGGTCATGGTCGTGATCATGATCATGATCGTGGTCATGGTTATGCCCATGACCCCCTCCCTGGGCTTGCTGTTGCATCATCATTTGTTGCCGCATCCGTTGCTGCTCCATAGCTTGTCTCTTCAGCTGCTCGATGAACTGAGGAACGGTCATGCCGGCGGCTTCGGCATCAGCGGCAATCTGGCGCTGCATTTGAGCGATCTGCTCCGGCGTGGGCATCGGCATTTGCCCAGGGCCGGGCATGGGCATGGGTTGGCCCTGCATTGTGGGTGGCTTTGGCGGATTATCTCAAGTATTAGAGTAACCAATTTCTGATTCGAGCCTCTGTTGTGTGGTGGTCTCCGCGAGCGTGAGACTGGAGTTGCGCGGGACAAGAATTTGGGTTGGGCTCTTTGTGCGAGATCTGGCTGTTTCCTGAAGGCAAGCTGTGCTTTACAGATTACACGTCGCATCAAATCAGTATATGGTCCGTGCCCTTAGCCTTGTCGAACCCCGGTTCGCTGCCCCAGACAAGGGAGCTGCAAGCCACAGCCTGAAAGCTGTGATTCTCCACAGCCGTTGGGGTTGTGTGGCAACCCCTGTGGCTGGAGCGCGTGTGGGGCATTCTTCAGTGTCTGGGCCCACTTCTTCTACCGCTCTCATCAGCTCCCCACTCACACATCACCACTCGTCATCAATTTCGACTGTATTGAATGGCCACCCTCCGCGACTTCCGAGCCCCTGAATGGCTCAATTACGCAAACGAGAGTATGGCTGTGTTTTGTGAGCAGAAAAGTGAAGGTAATCCCCACAGCCAAAATGGCAGTGACGGGCGGGGCAGCTTCACCTCAAGTAGTCTGAGAAGGCGAATGACGGTTCACCATTCCAAGCTGCATCTCAGCTCTCGTCCCTCGTTGCGATGCGCTACACTTCACTAGACAGAGCACTAACGCTAGGTTCGGGAAGTGTGTTCTTCCAAGGCTGTTGCCGCGCCACGAGACATTAGCGGGCGCCATGGCCTGGAGGATTTCCAATACCGCGCCGCTGGGCGCTAAAGTCAGCGGCCAGCTCGATGCAGCTCCACGTCTCGTTCGGGATGACGATATCGCCGCACCGCAGCTTCGTTCTTCGCCACGTCTTCTACCGCGCGCTCAGCTCGTATGGCTATGGTGTTTGTGGGTCGTTTGCCTCTCGCATCCCCGCTCCACAAAGCTTGCTCGACCCGCGGAGAGCAAGCGGGCAACGATAGGATGGGGTTGGAGGGGCAATGAGGTTCCGTAAACAGCTTGACACCTCCTTTCCACCACAGGGCCTCGCGCGGCTGGCCAATCCGCCGCGCTGGGAGTCTGTCTGATTGCTTCGGGGAGGGACGCCCTACCCGTTTTGCGTCTTGGTCCCTTGCAGGCGTGGGTCGACTCGCCCGGTCGGGTTTGCGATCGAAACATGTCACCAGGCACCCTGGCCGTCTGGGGGCGAGCACGAGGGGCAGGTTGCAAAGGCGACAAGCAAGATTATCACGGAGTGCGGCAATCGAGGCTAGATCGCAACATGCCCTAGTCGCTCGCATCTGTTTGGCCACCAACGCGCGTGCGGTCGGCCACGCCCAAAGCGGCCGCATTGGGGGCCGGCAGGGACCTACCATTTGGAATGCGCTCGATGGAAACAACCCCAGACCCCAATGTTCTGCATTCGCGTCGTGCGCCCGTACCCTCTGGCGCATTCACGCATTTCCTTCCGTGCCGGATCCTCGGTTTCAGACCAGCTCGACTGACGATAACTCCCGCCAAGGTACGGCAGCAAGTGCAGAATCACAAGCCAAATCCGTCAAGAAGGCCTGCCCGACAAGGGGATCCAATCCGGTCGACCCACGAGGCACCCCTCGCGGGCCTCTGTGGCAATGCGGTCTTGCAGAAGGCCGCTGGCCGCTCCCATCCAAGAAAAGACTGAGACATTGACTCGCAGTGCGGCACCCCTTCGCAGCACGCGATTTGTGGGCCGTCCAATCTGGTGTGTAGCGCCGCCATCGATACATCACTGGCCCCCGGTTTTATAGGCGCCAACTGGTCCTCGGCCACGCCCCGCCAGCCTATCAGCGTGCGTCCTGCAACCTCACCTCTGTGCTGCTGCACACCCGTACGGCCCCGTACCCATGAGGTACGTATGGAGCAGTTGCCGTCAGCGTGCGTCCACCGCTGCGAGCTGCTCAGCCGACAAAGCCAAATAAACGATGCCGGGCCCTCCACCGCGCCGCCCGAGGCTGATCATATGTTTCTCTCTTATTCCGGCCTACGCCTTGCGAACCATGTCCGTTTCCTCGATCCGTTTCCTTTGTTCTCGGGTCGCTGGTCGCTGGGCGTGTGTCTCCCCTTCTCCCCTTTCGACGCCGTTGACCTGGGTCACGGTCACGGCATGAGGCAAGATCCTCATAGTCCTCATCTTATCACCCTTTCTTTCCCTGCTTACTTACCTACTGCCTATTCCTGCAACGACGACTCGCGGGGAACAGCTTACTTCAACTGCTTTTCTTCTATCTAATAAGCCATGAGGGCTTTGGGCAGCATGCTGTCTGAGACCTACGCAACGTGGCTGCTGTCTGTTACTGCGTGCTGTGGTCGTGACGAGAAGCCTCGTCAAGGTGAGTTCGGCCACCTGATGCTACCGAGCGTCATTCTGACGCTACCAGTGGCCGATAAACCCATCATCGTTCTCCGGGACCAACCCGCCTATGTCCCACCGCCATCAGCAGGACCACTATGGTCGAACGAGAGCACTTATGAGAAACCGCTGGGGAGGTCGATCTCAGGGGCGCGACCCTCAAGCAGCTGGTCCAGAGGTACTGTGGGGACGCCATGGTTTTCGAGGTCATCATCATCACGCCGCAGGCCGAAAATATCGGGCCCTTCTAACTTCCGCCACCTCCACTCAGAGTCCTTTCAGTTTCCCGAGCCTCAGCCGGTGCAGAAGCGCTTCTCGTTTCGACCACTTGAGTTAGGTTTCGAGGCTGAAGACAAGTCTCTCTCGCCGCTTTTGCCCTACTTCGATGACGGTGAGGTCGACCGGGAGAGCCAGGTGACGCCACCACCACGGGCCCACACCGCTGCCAGCAGCAAGTGGGATGGGAGCAGCGCCACGCTTGGACACGATAGGAGTTATTCTGCCATGTCGTTCCACATTCCACGCAGGGCAGTTCGCGAGGCTTCCATCTCCTCTGAGAACCCCATCACGCCGCCAAGAATCCCGCTCAAGTCGAGGGCTCGGGCGCATACCTCGCCCACCGAGAATGTCGACCAAATCGTTGAGCGTATTGCCAGCGCATTGATCGAGAAGGAGAAGCTGCAGGTTGAGATCGAGTCCATTATCGAGCGCCAAAGCATCTACATCAGCAGCCGCCCGTCAACTGCGTATGGCATCCCAGAACTCGAGCCCATGCCCTCTGTCCCAGCCCTTCCTGATGCAGGGCCGTCGTTCGCTGAACGGTTGAGCTCCGACGGCAGGCCCCATACGGCCCCGGCACAAGGGGTAAACAGCACCCCCGATGTCAACG